CCCGGTTGCCACTTGGGGCAAACTCGTGAACCCCGTAGACTTGCTGGATGTGGAAGCGCGTCGGCGGAAACACTGAGATGACGCAGTTCCCTCAGCTGACCCACAAAGTAATATAACTGAACCCCGGACCTAAACTCCTTCTGATTCTTGGGCGCGTCGGTAAAAAGTCGTGTGGGTTGTGCTCGGCGCGGCATAGGCAGGGAACTAAATCTGGCGTGCTACGTCGAGACGGGAGGTGCGGCATACTGGCAACTGGTGCATCCCACCGAACATGTTATCGAATTATCAGGCAAGCAGTTGTGGTGACCAGGAACACTCCTTCTATATTCAATCAATGAATCAGTTTGTTTATTAAATTGAATTTGCCTTATTTTACGTGGCGAGACTCGGGCCATCAGGCCCGCTCTTCCGTCTGACCACGCAAATTTCGCTACGCTCCGTTCACTGGGACTGGGAGAGAATGGAGGTATTTCTTGGGCGAGAAATAGGCGATTTGAATTTAGCTCAGAGGCGTCATTTAGGCTTGAGGATCTTTTACATGCAAGTAAATCTACGAACATGAGACAGCCGGGTTTACTTCCCCTCCGAAGGAAGGCGTACGAAGGATTTTTTCGCCCTTAAAAATCCACGGCTTCGATCGGGTTTGAACCCGACAACAGTCCAGTACGCTAACCGTTACACCATCGCCGCCGCTATTATTGTTTATTGCAATTGCCGCGTTTATTCGCATAGTATGCCGCATAGTATTCAGGCGTTGGAGCTTATTTCAAATAAATACTCAATAAATTACAAACCGTTCACATCTGTGAATTATTGTCCCGGCAAAGACGCCACAGACGTAGGTCGAACGCTTGCTAGCAAAATATTATTAAAATAGCAGTATTTTTCTCTATCCAAATGTTTGGTGTATAGTTTCGAAAATTCTTAATAGGGAGTAGAGACGAATTGTTGGTGCAAGCACTTAAGGAATGATGTCCGTTTGTGATTTTTTTGATGTTGTGTACGTGTGTAACTCTTTCTGGGCGTGTAACAAATAGGACAAATGAGAGGTTTATTTTGTCTTAGAATTGGGATTATAATTAAATGATTCCAAGGACAAAGAAAGTAACCTCGAAGATAGCATTTAGGATGAAGACTAACGAGGCGAGAGATGTATCAGTGGAAGGTGTTCTAGAATGTCCTTAGGGGTTTGAGCACAACCAACTGATTTCATTTTCTCGCTTTACTTTGTAAGAAATTAAAGTTTCATAACCAGTTTAACAATGCGAAAATTAAATCTCAAACATTATGAAAAGGTCAAAGTTATGGAAACAAGAGAAACTCGGAAGCTTTTAATGAAGAATGTGTTATTGGTGATTAATTCCATAAATACGTTACATGTTAAATCTATTTTAATAATCATAATAAAATCGTGTAATTTTTACTTTACTTTAATTACATCTTTACTTACAGTAACCGACTAGTTTCAAAACGGAAATATCAATATCTATTTTTGCTGCCTTCAAGCTTGATATTCCATCTAGATTTAGTCACAATTATTTCCAAGTCGCTACTAGATTGAATATTAGCTCATTGCGCTCCCATAGGGATTATTTTGATGTACTTTTTCTGTATAATTTGATAAATCATGATATAGACTCTTCAGAATTATATTGTAAAATTCCTTGGGCTAATCCAATGCGTGATCTGCGTTCTACAAACAGCATGTTATTTAATATTCCTTTTGCGAGATCAACCTTGTACTATTATGCGCCATTATGGAAAATGTGTAGAAGTGCCAACTGTAACCGCATTAACTTATTTTGTTCACCTTATCAATTTAAAAATAACTTATGAAAACCGGTTACTAAATGATTTTCAATAATACTGTAATGTAAATGATATTTAATAATTGGGCGATTGCGTGTAATTATATATATATATGTATATGAATATCACAAGTGTCGTTAAATGAACAACCCTGCATAAAACAGAAACCTTAAATCGGGACTTTTTTGTCCCTATTGATTCCGGCTTAGATTTTACTGTACTTGGGATCTCGCAAGAACACTAGTTTTTCATTATTTGAAAATTAAATTGTTTAAAAAATTAACATTTATGTAATTGTTTGCATGTATTTTAATATGACATTTTTATGAAAAATGTTCTTTGTAGTATGAAAAAGTATTTTACCTACCTACAGAACTATTGTCCATATCAACTTTTGATGTTTATCCGACAATTCTTACAATCTTAATTTTCAATACGTTTATTTTCTTTAAGCTTAGAATTTCGAAACGCACGTGTTCAACAATAGATGTTTGACCGTGTGTGTATGAATATATGTAGATGTTGAGCACTTTTCTCATGTGCAATAGTATGCATTGGATCCCTCTTTACGATATTCCACAGTACTAACTTCAAATAATGTTTAATTTTTGGACTTTTGGCCTGCTTTTTTCAAGATTTAGAATACAGTAGTTTTGTAATTTTAATCATTCAAAATTTTGTAATTTTTCAATGAATTCGGATTCGTACAGCTGAAGAAATAATTATAATCAGATTTTCATTTAATTAAACTGCTTATTTATAATCGAAGCCTGCCATTTTGGATTCGCCATTTTGAATTGTGTAATTTTAATAATTAATTCCGATTCTACTGGACGAGAAACATCAAATTTTCATGCAATTTCACTACTTGTTTCGAAACGATTTCAGCCATTTTGAATCCGCCATTTTAAATTTTGTAAGTTTAATAATATTCTGATTTAGTGACTAAAAATCTTTATATCCATATTTGTATATAATTCCAATGATTTTTCGAATTTTGGTCATATTTTTCAATATTCCAACCACCGTGCGTCTTTGGTTTCTAAAACGTACTCGTGCAATAAAGCTTAACATTATTAACTAAGTGCGTAAACTACTATTACTACGGAAAATAACGAAGATGTGGCTGAATCTTGTTCCTATTAATTATACGTCCGTATGCCCACGGCCGACGCTAGCGGGTGAACCGTTCAGGCAGGTTTCTCCAATATTTATATTCGTCCTGATTCTTCGTCTCTGCATGTTCTAATGTGCAGCGTTCTTATATCGCATCAATATATTTTGATGTGCTTGCGTTTTATTTACAACATATTCCTCTTCTCTACAAAAATGTCACAAGCTTTCACAATTCAGTCAGCAACTCTGAATCAGACCTCTTCATCAATACAAAATGACGGCCCCGTAATGTGGAGCTGAAACATGACTCGAACAAGAATTTTAGAAGAGTAAAATCTTGTCCTATACGGAAATTATCGAGGAAAAAAATTGCAGCCGTTTTTGAGAAAAAGGCGTTAGAGCGTTTCCGAATATGGGTATGTCAACATTAATGACGTGAGAGATATTTTTAAAAAAAATCGAAGTGGCATTGATTTTATGTTTAATCCATTTAGCACTATCCGTTCTAAATATTTAAAAAAAACAAATTTCCAGCAATTTTCGACAAAATGGCATTTGAGCGTTTCTGAATTTGCGGAATTTTGAGGTTATTTTCACGGAAAACTAAAGTTTCCGAGACACGTTGTAAGAAATCATTTGAAGCCCATATAGTCATAAATGTAATATTGTATATATGTATGTAAAATATTATATGTAAAATTCAAATATTGACGACGTGAGAGATTTCGAAAACATTACATTTGTGTAATTTAAAACAAACAAAAGAATATAGCAAAATGGTGTTTATGACATTATTCAGTACATTTTGCACTAGCCCTACCAAAAGTTTCAAGAAACAAATTTGCAGCCATTGTCGAGAAAGTTTTGATTTTGTTTATATTGCACATATATCACTTAATATTGCTCGAAAATTACTAATTTTTTTTAAAAAAATGCACGACTTAAATGAAATAACCAATTATGGACAGCAAATTTAATTTAATGAAAAAATCTCTATCTTTGATTTTGTTGTTGTAGGATGACGCCGAAAAAATTTCAATCTTTCGCTATTTTCGAAATTGCAGAGTTGAGAATGAAAATCGGACGGATGCTATCTTTATACGACATTATGCTCTCTTCCTACAAAAACATTTAAAGAAAAAATTGGGAGCCATTTTTGAAAATGTCTCAGAGGATTCATGTTAAGTAACTCCAAAATTAAAGAATATTTTTCAAAGTAGAGCTTCGAATGAGGCCAGATCGACCGGGGAGTATTCAGTTTGAAAAATAAGCCTACGCATTGTTTAGGCGCTAGTGTTGTTCACATCGCGACGGACGGACAGACAGCGTTTTAACGAAGAGAAAAAAACAACACTTTTTCCGTTTTGGGGGACTCCAAAACGCGTATTTCCGTAGAAATCTCGAATTCGATTATCCGCAGCATTACATGACTTTCTGTATACTACGTATATTGCTGTGTTATACTAGAAAGTAAAAAAAATGTAGAATGTTTTTCTTCGATTTTTTGTAAAATATTTATCTTTCGCTATCTCGGAAATCATTTCTCCGCCACTGAGTTAGAGTATCTCATTTCAATCTAGGTAAAGAGCATCCCTTAGAACCTAGCCTAAGCAACCGACTACTCTTTCACATCTACCTCCGTAATCTGACCGATATTTAGATAATGAAATAAATGCTCATCCCAACATAAGCCAACAATATGCATTCTCCCACTTTAATATCCGCATTGCTTAATTCTTGTATTTAAAAGGAGGTTGCTATAGTCATCCCTTCGCATCATTATCGTCCGATAATGCTCGCTTCTAACGACTGAGAAGCCGTACATCAGAGCTTTGTATAATCACCACATTCTGCAATGAATAAAGGAGGAAGGAGGCACATTGTAACACATTTCTTTTGCATACATTTGTTACTAGTATTGTGAAATTATGGTTTTAATATGTATCCAAGTGTTCAGTATCTTATGCTATTAATGCTTTTTAGAAATAAATTTAAAAAAGATTAGTCATTGTAAGTTTTTGTGAGGTTTTGTTTTATGAACAATGTGTTCTCAAGTATTTTTTTATTTGTTTCAGTACCTATATCGCATGGAAGTGCTTTAGTGACATACGTTCCTAGTGAGGGAGGCAAACTTTACGTCAAGAAAGGTGATAAAGTTACAATCTACAGCAAGGAGGCTGGTAACGATACTTCACTTTGGGGAGTAGAGGTATGATATTTATTTGTTGAATCGCAGAAGACATTACATAATTTTGTTCCACGAGATTAAAAAAATAAAACAATGTGACTAATTGAGATTCAATTCTTTTGCATAAATGTCCTCATTTGTCGTGAAAAATATTTTTCCAATAATTTGCGTACGTCTTAAGTTAAATTGCTGATGAACTGGTGGATGTTCCCTTTAAGAGAACTCTCTTAATTCTATGTTGTAAAATAAACCCATCTCCCCAACGTAGTGAACAAACTTTTTGGGGCGAAATATGTGTGAGCCCCAACAAAAACTAAGGTTTTCAAATTTTAAACTTCTACCCTTCTCTTCCCATTTTTTCTGCTTGCCGTAACAGGTTCTAATATCTGAAACGACCATTATATTCAAAAACGAATTTGGAATACATTAATCCCTGCTAGCTAAAAGTTGAAACATTTTAAATGCAAATTCAAGGACTTTTTTGTGTATTTGGAAAACCTCAATGTCACAAAACCGCGAAAAACTGGGTGACGTATGAGGGGGAAGTGCAAAGTGTGCTCCGATACTTGCGTCGTGGAATCCCAAATTCTTGTCGCACTCATGGTGCAAGGTGCGCAATCAAATGTTATGTATACAAGAAATACAAATTTACAGAAGTCCCCAATAAAGTAACATGAACTGAACAGCACAGAGCAGCTGATGACAATTTCACGGTAGCAGTCCTCAGTGTTGCCACAATTTGGAACTCCTTCCATTGCGACTGATAGGTTTCGACCTAAACGTGCAAAAGCTCTTTCTCGATTTTACCCGTTATTCACATCTATACAGCTTTCGATTGAATTAACGTAACGAGGTGACACAAACTCCCTAATTATTCGTAGCTACCAAAAATAATCGATTCTGTTTTATCGCTGGAATTGTGATATGTTTTGTTATGCAATCCAGGGGGCTCTTGCGCATCGTATCCGACTTCAGCCAATGAGCTTCAGACACCAGTTTGCGCCACAATATTAGTGGGAATTTTAAATGTTGCTAGATACCAAAATCACCTCGTTGAAAGACATTGAAACAGATTTATGAAGCATTTCTTTTAAATATTCTCATGAACATCTTTGTGTTATTTGTGTTTGGGTTCCGTTGAAAATTGTCACTTTGCACCACTTTCAAAACGTTTCTCAATCCTTCTCGCTCTCCTTGCAACATGGGGGCCATCGGCATGGTTGCCAGGTGCTTCGTGCAAACATCCGCCGTTAGATGGATGTAAATACGCCCAATTCTGCCCAGTAAGAAAAATTCGACAATCCAAGTAGGAAATTTGAATTTGCATTAAATTTTGTTTGAGATAGTGACCCTGTGAAATGTTTGATTAGTTTTATTTTTTTTGGGTTTGTGAAAATTATAATTAATAATAATATTTATGTAAAATCACTACACTATACGTATCACTTACGTTCAAATATTAATTGTACTCTCCGAAAATAGAAATTTAATCTCAACTTCTGGCCTGCAGTAGCATCAATGCTTATGTTTATACAACCCTAAAAAACCAATATTTTTAGCGTTTAAATAATTTTAAAATTTAAATCATTAGGGAAATGTACTATCACTAAACATATATTGTTAATTGAATTTGCCCACCGAGTTTTTACCGACAGTTTTTTTATCATGAAAATTTTATTCAGTTTTCTAAGCAATCGCATCACAAAAGGTTTAATGGTTTTCAGAGCGACGTTTCGGGAATTTATTTTTCCCCCATCTTCAGGCAGTTCAAACAAAAGATCAAAACAAAAACAAAAACAACAACAGCGAAACAAATATTTAAACATATTTACAGCTGAGTGCACAAAGCACGTGCACGTACTCTGAAAACCATCAACCTTTTTGTAATGTCGTTGCTCAGAGGATTGAATAAACTTTTTATGATCCAAAAACTGTATGTCGGTTAAAACTCTGTGTCCAAATTCAACAGTATATATTTTAAAATTAAAATTGTATTGCGACAAAAAACCTGTTTTATTTGTGAACATTTACGAAATTAATTACATTCAGAATTGTGTAAAAAAATAAAATAAAAAAAATCAAAGGGCAATTGAAAATAACTTTAGATAGGTGAGATGGGTGTTGGGGTTGAAAATGTTTGAGTCGTATTTTTTTACCACTATGTGTTCTTCATGTGTTTCACATGAAATTGGTTCATTGCTGTTGACATTTTTACTTCCTTATTCCGCGACATCGGAATGTGCGGTTTAGGCAAAATGGCGATGCTGTACTTCATGCCTGTGCGTCATAACAACTGTCGTCTTTTGAGAAAATTATGGCAATGGTTTCGTCGTAATAAAATTCTCTCACATAAATAAATAAAATTTCAGAGTAATTCATCGTATTAACCGAGTGTAAATGAACTCATACCGATGGGCATAATTTGAAGCCTAAAAAGTTATTTTTTCCTTCAGGAAAATGTATGTTATGTAAACACTAATACTCTAGAATACCCATCGAAAATTGTGAGGAACTGCTGGAGAAAACTACAACCAAGCTTGTGTATGCTTATCGTTATTTAAGAAAGTTTGCTTCAATCTGTTTTCCGTTGTAAATGTTATTTTTCTACTAAACTCATCTTCTTAGTTGTTTCCGAACGCGCAATTAAAATACGGGGTTATTCTAAATATATTATCTAAAAGCAACATTAAATAGCAGTGGATTTACTCACTTGAAATACTTTATTCTCAGTTCACAAATTATCAATCAAGTTCTTCCTACAAATGTTCAATGTGGCCTTCTTTTGTAACACAGCAGCGCTCCCATCTACGAAATTTATTCTCAGATGGGCGAGAGTGTGTCACCATGTACCTCGGCTAGCACACCATTGATGCGCTGGTGAGGATATTGATATTTTAATTTTGATATTTGAAGCTCCCGTACCAATCAACGGTTTGGCAATGATTTCATGTTGCTTTTAGGTAACTTATTTAGAATTACCTTGTATTGTTCGTGGGGATGCAATGCCGCTGCAGAGCGTTGCGTGGCGGTGGAGAGGAGTGAGGTCGATAGAGATTCTCGGCGCGGCGACCGCGACGTCTATGACTTAGAGCGAAACTGTGGCCTTCGAAGCAGGCAAATCGTGCGCTGACTTACCGCTGCCTTCACCGCTCTCCTTTGCCAGTAAACGCAGCGCAGCCGTATACCATGTCCCGGTGCGCAGGATATTTGAATTGCGCGCCCAGTTGCGGTATCTAAGCAGTTTTGTCGAAAAGGGAAATTTTTAAACGGAAAAAAGGTTTGATCCATATCATCTTCAATAACGGGAATACTACATTATGTTTGCCCTCGTAATTAAGCGACACTGTATAAAAGATATAAATGTGATTACTTACTTCAATTGTCTAATTTTCAGGTTGGTGGAAAACGTGGATATTTACCCAAATCAGTGATAAAGGAAGAAAAAGTGTTTCATAAAACACAGTTTATCATTGTGCCTACAGAACCGGGAAGTGATGCTGAAGCAGATTCTCTTGACAATAATGTACAGGAAGGCAGTGCAGCAGATGTGCCTATTCTAAGTGATTCATTCAGTGTGGTTGATGGCACTACTATTTATAGTAATACCACTGGTGAAGTATTAGAAACTCAACCTATGGAAACCAGGACTTTCGATACCCAGACCCTTGATATTCAGTCATCAAAAACAATAGATGCTACAGGTATTGGCAAAAATACTTTAGTAGAACCAAACAGTTCATTAATTCTTCCTCAGCCAACCACTTCCAGTGCTGCTGTGTATAGTGCTAGGGGTGATGAGAATCTTGGAGGAACCCAGGCAAGTGTGTTAGATGAAGTAAAATCTACAATTGAAACATCTGCTCTAGAAAGTAATGAAGATCTTACAACACTGAAGGTAAACGACATTGAAAATAACTCTGGAGACGTAGAAAATAATGAAAGTAATGAAAAAGTAGGGATTGGCGAAGATACCCTAGAAGACGAGGAAGGAGAAGAAGATGATGAATATGAAGAAATGGAAGATGATGAGGATGAGGATGAGATAGATGATGAAGATTTGGATGAAGAGGAAGTACTGGAGTCAGAAACAGATTCTAAACAAGATGTAGATGGTGAAAGTGAGAGGATTGGGAAAGAAAGTAAAGAGGCAAGCCAAGGCAATGGTGAAAATGAAAATGTAGTATCTGAATCTTCGGAGACCAATTTACAGGACTCTAATGTTTCTGAGCCAGAGATATTCAATGACAATACAGGAAGTTCGGAAACTTCTGAAGGAGAACAAGTGAGGATAAGCAATGATTATTCTGAAATTAAGCATGAGGGAGAAAATAAAGATGAGGGTACATTGGTTAAGGAAGAAATATCAAACACAACAGAAATCGTGAGCGAAGTCACTACTGCTGGTCCTCTTGATAAAAATGAAATCTCATCCCAGGACAGTTTGAATGATATTGACAATGCAGGTGCATCAACAGAGGAATCTGTAGTCCTGCCCAATGACAGTGAAAGCACAATAATCACCCAAAATGCAAACAATGATGAAAAAAAATATGTGTCAGAAATTTCTAGTGGAGATGATGCATCACCAGAAAATAATGCAAATTTAATAAGAGATAGTGATTCAGTGGTACACACAAATGATGCAAGTACTAATTCCAATGTTTCTAATGTAGAAGATATACAAGAAAGAAACAGTGATAATGAAAAGGAAAATTACTTTAATTCATTTTTTTCTCTTGGAACATATAATGAAAATAATAAACCAGAAGGTATCTTTTTTATTCTTATTACGCATGTTACTTAATACAAAATTATTGTTTGAACACTTTTGCATTAAATTTAATTAATGTAATATTACATTTATTTTGTTGCAGATGACAATGTAGAAATAGTGCAGAAAACAGATGCTTCAGTTTCTGAAGAAAATATAGAAATAGAGAATTCTCAAGATAACGAAAACACGTAAGTAAATTAATTTCACTCGCTAGTTAAATGTTTTTAATTCACTTTTCTCCGGATATTTAAAACAAAAGTATCAAATGAGTCAATATTATTATGCCCCTCTAACATTGTCATTTAAGTTTTATTTGACACAGATTATTCTTCCATCTCCTTCTGTTATGTACTATCTGTCTATACTTTGGATGTTTTGTAAAGTCCTTCTTGGTAAACTGAATAATATAAAACTAAACTGAAAAAGAGTTCATCATCTCCCATCTAAAGCAGCACAAACACAAGCTACACCATAAATCACTCCGGAAAACAGAATTATTTTAAATTCCTATGACCTATTCCTATGGCAGAACTACCAGGGGTGCAGCAGGTGCAATTGCCCAGGGGCTTACATCATTGGAGGTCCCTGCTCACTGTTGTAATGAAATTCAATTGTTAAAAATAATGAAATTTTGTTTGTTTCAAACCAATTTTGTTTAATGGATTTAAATGTAAAGTTTTTATAAAATCAGAAATAAAATTTTTTTCTTTGATTTTTTTTCTAGAATAATTTGGTTTAATTTTTATGGATCTTAGAAAATATAATTTTTTCATTCTCTATACATGGTAAAGTCAACAGTCTTGGGTCTTTCTTTTATTAGTATCAGACAAAAAACAACAATAATCAAACACATGTACGATAAAATCACTGGTGAGATAGATACCTTCTAATAATAATAAGTATATAAAAGATGTTGTCCAGTATCAAAAGTATATTTTAACTTAGGTTCTTTTCGATAGCATACCTATCATAATCAGAGCTATCTTGCAGTCTCTGGATGGAAAACAAAGTTTTAAAGTTTTAAGGAACTTTGAATTTGCTCAGAGACTGCAAGATAGCTCTGATGATAGCTACTCTATTGAAAAGATTTTAAGTTAAAATATAGTTTACTTTAATATTTACGAATATACAAATGATAATTTAGAACGTATTCATTTTCATAACTTTGGGAATCTGGTGGCTCTAGTCTTGTAGTTTCTGAACGTATATTTTTAAGTGTAGATAATAGTGAAATTTCAACCATATGAACCGTCATTAACAATGATTAAGGAAATTCCATTCCAATTCCAGAAAGATCAAGCGATTTAAGTATTTTGTTGATAGAACACAAAATGACCCATAATTTATTTTTTTATAAGAGAACCAGCATGGGTGAAAACTGTGAAATATACACTTACAAGGACAAAGAATGAAGAAGTGTATTTATATTTAAACAAACGCCAAAATTGTGTTTTTCATATTTATTATAGTATTCGAAATGACGGTACTGATTTCATCTTTCAAAACCAATATGTGCTTATGAGTTCACAACATTCTTGAAACATCACATACCCATTCTAAAGCTCCAAGGCGGAAGTATGCCCTGCAACGTTCACAACACGCTTCCAACGATGTGGGAGTCGCCAAATACTATTGCTTCACCAATCATTGCTTAGGATTTGTAAAGTCTTGCGGTTACAAACCGCCTACCACATGACGGTTTCTTTACTTTTGGCATGAGTTGAAAGTCACATGGAGAAAAGTCTGGAGAATATGGTGGGTGCTCCAATTCTTCCCATCCCAGCACTACAGTAGCCTCTTTACTCATTCTTGCGTTGCCGTAGATTGATTTATTAGTTTCTGGGCCTATTAGCTATTAAGGTCTTTAATTCCGTAAGTGTAGCGCATGTTTTGATCGCGGGAGGTGGCGGTCTTCTTCCCCTGCGTGATGGAGAGATCCGTCGCCAACCTAAACGCCGGGAGAAGCTCTAAGGTCCTGACTGGTCTACGGACGTGTCAGTGTGTCACAGCATCTCCTCCAGACAGCGGCTGAACTCTACCTATCTACCTACCTATCTACCCATCTACCTACCTATCTACCCATCTACCTACCCATCTACCTACCCATCTACCTACCCATCTACCTACCCATCTACCTACCCATCTACCTACCTATCTACCTACCTATCTACCTACCTACCTACCTACCTAACTACCTACCTACCTACCTAACTACCTACCTACCTAACTAACTACCTAACTAACTACCTACCTAACTACCTACCTAACTACCTAACTAACTACCTAACTACCTACATAACTACCTAACTACCTACCTAACTACCTACCTAACTACCTAACTACCTACCTATCTAACTACCTATCTAACTACCTAACTACCTATCTAACTACCTATCTAACTACCTACCTAACTACCTACCTACCTACCTAACTACCTACCTACCTAACTACCTACCTACCTACCTACCTAACTACCTACCTAACCTAAACTACCTACCTACCTAACTACCTACCTACCTAACTACCTAACTAACTACCTAACTAACTACCTAACTAACTACCTAACTACCTAACTAACTACCTACCTAACTAACTACCTACCTAACTATACCTACCTAACTAACTAACTAACTACCTAACTACCTAACTAACTAACTGCCTAACTAACTAACTGCCTAACTAACTACCTACCTAACTAACTACCCACCTACCTACCTACCTAACTACCTAGTGCCCTACCACCGCCGGAACTCGAACTCCGGTACTACCCGATTAGAGGCATTGAATGACATCAATTGATGTCCTAAGACACCTAATCCGGTTTCTATTGGAATGATGGAATGCCAAAAGTGTTATAGGGCCTACGAAATCTGATTTGTAATTAAAGGGAACGCTAACTTGTTAAATGAACTGTTTGATTAAATTTTGATTTGATTAATTGACGTGATTGATTAAATACTTTTTATGCCATGATACTTCTATAAAACAACCAATTTAAGGCACGTGAGTCGACAAAAAGTTTAAAAGCATTTTAAACCTTAGCTTGGCCACTTTACCCAAAATGTTTTTTACGCAAATTGACCGCCCAAATTGATATAAGATTTGCTTTATGAATGATTATAAATGGTTTGGTGAGCATATTTTAGCTCTACGATTACATTGGTTAATATCCCATTGACTTTAAACTGAAACGAAATGGAAAATTAGAGCCCGGATTTGTATGCAAATACACATCTCTTTGTCAATTGTTACTTGGAAAATGATCACATATCTTTACGAATCCGACCATTTGGGGTATTCCTGACGAATGTTATTTTGTATATTTTGCCATATTTTACGGTTACTGCATATTTTGCATATTCAGCGTATTTTTTAGGAAAATGGTAATATTGTTTTAGAAGAAAACTCTTTAAAATTTGAGAAATATGGTTGATTGTTTTCGTTGTTCATGGAACAGCTCAGCCGTCACTATAAAAAAGTGAATATCATTTTAGCTTCAAACCTGTTGTCACCGGACGCACGTGGGAAAACCTCCATTTAAACCTATGCTCTTCTACGAGCCGCGGCGTTCGGAAGCGCGCTGCTGTGGCGACGTGAGAAGGGACTCAAAGGTAACTGTGGTATTCACCGTACGCGGGTATGCAGGGAGACCTGCATGTGATATGTCATTAAGAAAAGTCATCACGAAGAAAACAGTAGCATTCTGCTTTTCATTTATGCCTAATTATTCAAATTATTCGTTTTGTAAATAATATGATGCACAAATTGAAAAACCTCAGAAATGCTCTAGCACATGTGCAGGACAATTTGTATTTGTTAAAATAAAAAAAAAGAGGCCAACGAAAGTGGATGCTACGATTTGATGAATATGTGATGGATTGTAAACGTAATCAGCACCAAATACAGTGAAAAAGATGCATAGTAAAGGAAATTATATTCATTGTTTCTCATTTTAGACGTCAAGCCTCTGCAAACAAGCTAATGACTGCAGGATTGTTAATTTTTGTCAGATAAGTTTTGTATTTTTGCATTCTCATAAGAAGCATAAGAGAAAGTTATGTACTTGTATCTCAAAAAAACGGCGAATTTTTGGGGAGAAACGTGGGCCTTTGTAACGGAAAGGGGGATAAATCGTGTTGCTAGTAAATCACTTCCTCAAACTCGTGTTGTTGTAGCCAGAATCCAGGTTTTGTGAGTCGTTGATACCCAAAGATCGATTGACGGCGAAATGTCTGTTCCTATGTGGTTAAAGCTAGCGCCTAGACCGTTCAACCGATTTTCTCTAAAATTGATATTCTCCACTTGATGTGGACGAACTTCAAGGCTTAGAGAGTTTCACCTGAATATTTTGATTTTTGAATGTACTGTACATAAAGGCTCAAAAACATTTTCAAGCTTTTCTCAAAAATGGCACCAAATTTATGGTTCAACTTTGTCCTGGAATAGGTGCTCTCATGGCTCAGTGGCAAAGTCGCTTGCCTTTCACCACTGAGGTTTCGGGATCGATTCCCGTAGAGATTCCCGATTCACGTGAAGTTACGACAAAACGAGTTTGCCTGCTTCACAGGGGCTAGTCCAACCCTTTGAAGCGTCCTAAACCTTACCCCTATCCTTATTCCTTCCTAACTCTGGCCGATATGTAGATGAGCAGGGCGCGTGCGAGCACAACAACACTAGCTGTCGGTGATACCCTGATTTGACTATGACTGAGGTGACTTGATAACCTTGTGTCACTGTTAAAATATGAGACTCCGGCGCCGAACGCCGCAGCGGCGCAAACCCGCCGCAGGGGGGAAGGTCTCCATTCAAACCAATGATCTGCAACAAGCCGCGGTATTCGTAAGCGCGCCGCGGTAGCGACGTGAGTCATGGAAATACTAGGAAACCGAGGTGGGTTAGGGCCCCTTCCCACGGCGCGGCCGCGGCGCGCTTCGCAGCAGCGCGGCACGTAGCAGAACATTGGTTTGAATGGAGGCCTTCCCACGTGCTCCTTGAAGGAAGCGCGCTGCGGTCGCGCCGTGGGAAGCCGGCCTTAGTCGCGATGCTTGCCGGCGCGGCGTTCGTTATTTGCCTGCTGACTCACAAGAGCCCTTCCGACGCCGCCACCGCCGGAGCCACGGCCGCACTGCCGCCCGCCGTGGAAGAGGGGAGGGTTCTGCAGGGGTAGGTTTCGACCACCCTCCGGCGACGACCAACAAAGGGACCGCAGCAGGTAAAACGCAGCGACCGGCGGCACAGTGGGAAGCCTACCATTTAAAGCTGTGTTCTGCTAGCGGTGACCCTTACGCCCTCCTCCGCTTCGCGTAGCAAGAGTTCTCCGCTGCTGGCCGCAGCGGCGGCCACCCGCTGCACGTGGGAAGGCCTCCATTCAAACCAATGCTCTGCTACGAGCCGCGGCGCTCGGAAGCGCACCGCCGTCGCGGCGTGGGAAGGGCCCCATAGGGTGCCCCGGGCCGCGCCTGGCGATCTGCACAATAGAGCCCTGCCCTCTTGGGCGGCGTGCAAACGCGTGCAGGCAGCGACAAATTGCCACTTTCCTGGCTCTCCACTTTCGGGCGCTCCAACGCTATTCGAAAGAAAATCACGTAATGCGCGACCCGGGTCTCAGTTCATAGGCCAAGGAGCTGCGGGTGGGGATGGCGATCGTTCAATTGCAGCTCGATTCGCATGAATTTTGATTTCCAACTCGAAGGTTGCCGGGAGGGTTGTTTTTTCAGCGACACCGCGTTCTCCGTGCATCTCCCTCTGAAATGTTTCCTGCCATGGCAAGTTTCGGCGAGGGGGCCGCTACCTCCGAATACCAACGTATCGTAAATCGCGCTGCGCCCTGGAATGTCCAGGATTCTTGGCTTTTGCGACAGCCGTCTCTCATGCTTGAAAAGAATTGTACGTGGCGAAAAAAAAAGCGTCTTGGACGGTCGCATTTCAATAATTTTTTTCTGTTGTGTGGAATCTTTTCATATTTTTAATGGGAAAGACTGATTCTGAAATTCGTTACTGGGTAAGGTTATAATGGTTATTTTTACGTCTGTTATATTGATTATTTTATTGTATGTTTCTTGACCCGACAACATGAAATAAATTGTTATACAAAACTCGGTGTTTTATTAAGGTCAAGAAACTTACAATAAAAAAAGTCAATAAGACATTATTAAGGTGTGAGAAATCGTATAACCAATATTAATTAATGATAATTTGTATTAATAACAAATATGTGTTAAAATATTTTTGTGTAGCATTAGTAATTCTTTGACAATTCATTACATTAACATTTTACTTTGTTAACAGGTTTGTTGAGCATGTTCATACAACACCCAGCCCATTTGATGGAATCACTGATCTGCATACTTCCACTTCTGACCAGGTTAGTGAGAATCGCTCTCTCTTATCTTCCAATTTAGAGGTACGTAGCAATTTAACTTATTTGGATTCCTACTTAAATGTTGGGAAAAGTGTTCATGTAGCGTCATGGCAACGCTGCTATCAGCGCGAAAAAGCTGCCTTACAGTGGTTCACAAATGTGTTT